GAATGTGATCAGGTGGGAGACTAGAACAAAGCCACACACTAGATTTTGGTCTGTTAGAAGAAGCTGTGTCCCAAAATTTTAAAGACAGAAAAACATATATATATATATATGGTTAAATACAAGGAAGGGGTAGAATATGACTGTAAAAATGTAAATTAAAAAAGATTCTAAAAAGGAATTGATAAGATGTTGGTTGAAAAAGGAAAGAAGAAAAATTTTTAAGAAAAGAAATAGAAAAAGAAAATAAAAAAAATAACTTTGAAAGACTAAAGAATCATGGGGGGACAGCCATGAATTCTATGTGCTGTATTCTCCTTCTCTGGACTTTTGCAGTTCTCATTGATTGGTAAACTTGGTATTGACTGGATGTTCTTGCTGATCTTCTGGGGGAGGGGCCTGTTGCAATGATTCTCAAATGTCTTTGCCTGAGGCAGAATCGCCCTGCCATTGCCAGGGGCCAGGCTAAGTAATCTGCTCAGGTTTGCTCTTGGTAGCTTTTGTTCCCTGAAAGCTTTCCATACAGCTTTGGAGGACAAGAGTGAAAATGGCAGCCTCCCAATCTCTGGCCCCAAAGTAGCTGAGAGCTCACAGCCCCACTTCTCAGGGGGCCCTCAGATAAAAGCAGTCATTCACTCCTGTCCCCCTGGTCTCTGGCTACACTCTGTGCTCACCCATCCTGTGACCGATTGTTTCTATCTCTGGCACACGACCCTGTTTGCAGTCTCCAAACCCAGCAGATTCTTGTGGTGTGCTCCCGTGCTGCTCCTACCAGGGGAGGAAGGGAAGTCTCCCCAGATCTGCTGCTTGTTGGGTCCCTGCACAGAGTAGTGGCCCAACTGTGCCGCAGATCACGGTTATGGCAACCCCAAGTTGAGAGCCCACTCCTCGGCTCTGTCTTTGCAGCCAGCTTCCCCGCTCTGAGACCTGGGAGCTCTGCTACACTCAGGCACCCCCAGTCTTTCTGTGACCCCAAGTGTCCTGAGACCACACTGTCTCAGCAATGTTTCCTCCCTCCGCTTAGCCACTGGAGTGATGTCCCTCAGCGGAGCAGACTTCTTTAAAAGTTCTGATTTTGTGCTCCACTGCTCTATCACTTGCTGGTAGCCAGCTGATGGAGGCTCCCTCCCCACCTTGGTCTATCTTCCAACCTTCCAGAAAGTGGTGGCTTTTCTGTTCATAGAATTGCTGCTATTCTTTTCTTTGATCTCCTGTTGAGTTTGTAGGTATTCAGAATGGTTTGATAACTTTCTAGCTGAATTCCTGGGACCAGATGAAATTTAAGTCTCCTACTCCTCCCCCATCTTGCTCCTCCCTCTCTGTTGGTGGTATCTTTTTGCAGAAATTTTTTCAGTTTTGTTGTAGTCCAACTAATTTGTTTTAACTCTTATTGTCTGTGCTTTGGTGTCAGATACAAGAAATCATTGCCAAATCCAATGTCAGTAAGATTTTCTCCTATGATTTTTTATAATGGCTTTTCTTATCTTTAGTGCTCTGATCTGAGTTTGTTTTATATATGGAATCAGATAAGGGTCAAAGTTCATTTTTTGCCTGGAAATATCCAGTTTTACTAGCACTGCTATTTGAAGACGGTCTTCTCTTCCATCAAATGGTCTTGGAACTCTTGATAAAAGTCATTTGACCAACGGCACCTGAGTGGTTCCATTGATTGGGCATCTGACTCTTGATTTCATATACGATCATGATCTCTGGGTGGTGTGATCAAGGCCTGTGTTGGGTTCCATGCTGGCCATGGAGCCTGCTTAGGATTCACTCTCTGTCTCTCTCTGACCCTCCCTGTTTGAGCTCACACTCACTCTCTCTCTTAAAAAAAAAATAATAATTTTACCATATATGCAAAGCTTTATTTCTGGGTTTTCTTCTATTACATTGGCATGTATGTCTATCTTTATGCCAGTATCCTCCTATAGACAGAACTGAACTTACAATGGGTCCACCAGTGATGGGTTAACTTACGATTTTTTAATTTATGATGCTGAAAAGCGATACACATTCAGTAGAAACCACACCTTGAATTATGAATTTTGACCTTTTCCCAGGCTAACAATATGTGGTACCCTACACTCATAATGCAGGCAGTGGGAGGCACACCTCCCAGAAAGCCCATGTGATCACAAAGGTAAACAACCAATGTACTTTAAATTATTCAGTAGCCATACAACCATTCTTTTTTTACTTTTCACTTTCAAGAAAGTATTTAATAAATTACATGAGATATTCAATACTTTATTATAATAGAGGCTTTGTATTAGACGATTTTGCCTAACTGTAGGCTAATGTAAGTGTTCTAAGCATGTTTAAGGTAGGCTAGTCTAAGCTTTGATTACAGTAAGTTAGATGTATTAAGTACATTTTCAACATATAGTATTTTCAACTTATATTCAGTTTATCAGGACATACTTATCCTAAGTTCAGGAAGGTCTGGACTTTGATAATTGTAACTTTGTAAGAAGTTTTCAAATGAAGAAGTGTAAGGCCTTCAACTGTGTTCTTCTTTTTCAAGATTGTTTCAACTACAGATAGTCCCTTGAGATTCTATATGTCATCTTGGAGAATGTTCTATGTGCAGTTAAGAAAAATATGTATTCTTTGTGGCTAGAGTGTTCTCTACATGTTTGTTAGGTGTAATTGGTCTATAGTGTTGTTCAAAACATCTCTTTCTTTCCTGAGATTCTGTCTGATATCTCTGCAAGTCAAGTCTGGTGGTGATGAACTCACTTAGCTTTTGCTTGTATGGAAAAGTCTATCTCTCTCTCTTTTCCAAAGGATAACTTTGCCAGATAGATTATTCTTCTTTGACAATTTTTCTATTGTCTATTTGAATATATCCTCCCATTCTTTCCAGGCACAAAAAGTTTTTGCTGAAAAATCCACCAATAGTCTAATAAGAGTTCCTTTGTTTGTTTGTTTTGTTTTGTTTTTAAGATTTATTTACTTATTTTCGAAAGAGAGAGAGAGAGCACAGGGATGAGAGGCAGAGTGTGAGAGAGTCCTAGAAAGACTCCCTGCTGGGCACACAGCAGGCTCAGGGCTCAATCTCAGGACCCCAAAATCATGGCCTGAGCTGAAATCAAGAGTCAGACACCTAACACACTGCATCACACAGGGGCCCTTAGGAGTTCCTTTGTATGTTACAAATGAAACATACAACAACAATAAGAAACCACATACAGATGCAATGAAATCCCTATAATATTTCTTTGGCATTATTCACAAAAAGAGAGAAGATAATCCTAAAATTTATATGAAACCACCAAAGACATTGAATAGCCAAAGCAACCCTAAGAATGAACAGCAAAACTAGAGGCATCCTAGTTCCTGATTTTAAACTATACTAATGGATATAGTAATCAAAACAGGATAGTACTGGCATAAAAAGAGACAGACTAATGGAACAGAATCAAGATCCCAGAAATAAACCCATGCATATATGGCCAACTGACATTTGACAAGTAAGCCAAGAAAACTCAATGGATAAAGGATGGTCTCTTCAATAACTGGTGTTGAGAAAACTAGATAACCATGTCCACAATAGTGAAATGGGACCCTCATCTTAAACTATTCACAAAAATTAACTCAAAATGAATTAAAGACATAAACATAAAACTTGAAACCATGAAACTCCATGAAGAAGACAGAGAGTAAAACCTCCTGACATTGGTCTTGATAACAGTATTTTTTAGATATGACACCAAAAGCGCAAGAAGCAAAGGTAAAAATAAATATGTTGAAATTCTAATTCCCACGACCTGTGAATATGACCTTATTTTGAAATAGGGTCTTTAAAGATGTAATTAAGTTAAAATGAGGTCATTGGGAGGGGCCTAATCAAATAAGATGAGTCTCCTTATAAAGAGATGGATATTTGAAGAGTGACATGGAGAAAGAATGCCATGTGATGACAAAAGCAAAGATGGGAGTGATACGGACAAGCCAAGAAACACCAAGGATTGTCCACAACCACCAGAAGCTGGGAAGAGGCAAGGAAAGATTTACTCAGAGTAAAGAGTCTCAAAGAGAACTTGGCCCTGCCAACTTCATTTTAAACTGCTAGCCACTAGAACTATGAAAAAATAAGTAGATGTGGTTCAAAGACACCCCGGTTGTGTACTTATGACAGCCGAAAAAAAAAAAATTTAACACCCATGTAACCAGCACCCAGATTACTATACCCAATCTTATCAGAACCTGAGAAATGCCCCATGGACATTGCTTCTTTCTAAGACTAATTCTGCACCATAGTAAATACTATTCATAACCCATTATTGTTCCTTTGAGGAATAAGTCCACGTGGCAGGGATTTTGTCCTAATTTCTAAGAGCAGAGATTAGATTTATCTGGTGTTGAAATTTAGAAATAAATGGAATTTTATAGGATGAACTAATTTGTGTCTGGTTTCTTTTGGCAAAATTAGGTTTGTCATATTGATCCACAAAGATAAGGACAGATAATTTTTGTTTTTTTGTTTTTTTGCGTTAAGATTTTATGAATTTATTTGACAAAGAGAGAGAGAGCAAGAGAGCACAAGCAGTGGGAGCAGCAGAAGGAGAGGGAGAAGAAGGCTCTAAACTGAGCAGGGAGCTGGGCATGGGGCTGGATCCCAGGACCCTGGAGTCATGACCTCAGTCAAAGGCAGATGCTTAACCAACTGAGCCACCCAGGTGCCCCCAGATAGTTTTTTTTTGTTGCTGTTTTTTGGAGAGAAGAAGCTTGCAGGTGAGTGAGATGGGGGCAGGGAAGGAGGGTAGAGGGAAAGAGAGAAAAAAACTCAAGCAAGTTCCAAGCTCAGTATGGAGCCCAACACAGGGCTCAATCTCATGACACAGAGATCATTACCTGAGCTGAAATCAAGTTAGATACTTAGCCAACTGAGCCACCCAGGCGGCCCTGGACAAATATTTTAAATAAAAAGAAATACCATAAAGAGATGTTCATCCTCACAAGTAAAAGAAAATTGTACATTCAAATAACACAAGAAACCCTTTTTATTGTTGAACATTTTATTGACAAAATCAAACAGATTGATAACACACTGTGGTGGTAAAGAAGTGAGGAACCAGGAATTCTTGAATGTTGCTGTGTGGAGATGATAGGTGTACAACCTCTACTGAAATACATACATGTCTATTAAAATTTAATATATACACCTTTGACACAAATTTCACTGCTAGAGATTTACCATATATATATGGTAAATTATACTATATTAAGTGCTATTCATTCTACAATTTTTTTACAATTGTAAAAATCTGGGGCAAACCTAAATATTTATTGGAAATAAAACTGGTAAATAAATTTTTGGTACATCCGCTTAATGTAGTATTTGCAGCTGCTTACAAACACTGATGAAGCTCCTTAGGTACTGATATGGAACAAACTGCATGATTTATTTTTAAACAAAAACCTAAAGAAGCAATACTATTGTTTGTAGTTATGTAGTATTTTGTTTAGAAGATAGCATGTACATGGTTGCACTTGCCTAGAATATGTCTGGAATACTATTTAAACTATTACATGTCTGCCTCTGAGAAGGGAACTAGGTGAATAGGGGATAAGATAAATAAAGAGAAATTGTTCATTATTTCATATCTCTTATATTTTGAACAATGTGAATGTATTAATTACCTATTAATATCAAGATCATTTAATTATTTTTCATGTAAAATCTTATACTTAATCAAAATGAATTTGTTTTCACATTCTTTGATGGATTGGTTCTTGAAATTCTAGAACAATACATTTATTTTTTGGATGTATAATTTTATTCTTTTTAAAACATTTTTTATGCTTGCTGAAGGATGTTTGAAAGATCATAATCCTTCATAAAGCATGCATAGTTGACTAATCTGACTGAATACCCTGAGTTTTTTCCTAGTAGCTATTAAAAAGTGAAAATATTAAAACTTTAGAGACAATAACTCTTTTAATTATTAGGGCCAGTGAACACCTTTTCACAAATGTAACGAAAGTGTCTACTACAATCAGCACTAAAAATATTTGATGAGTTGAGGTATCCACATTTTATATCCGGTAAACTCTGCTGGAAATGCCTGCAGTAGAGAACATATTTATTTTAGAAAATCATTTCTCAGGTAATATTTATCACGAATTTAAAACATATGTGCAATTCTTTCAATGGACATGCAACATCTACATCTCTCGCACAGATCTCTCACTTGAACTTCTTAATCATGTATCACAATTCCCAAGTGCCACCCCCATATATAGCTAACTGGTTAATAGATTTATTAAACTTGTATCTAAAACTGAATTCCAAATACGTCCTCTTAACATTAGCGGCTACATCATTCTTACAATTACTGGGCCAAAAACCTTAGAAACATCCCTGAATTGTCAGTCTCTCTCACACATTTTTTTTTTCTCTCACACATTGAAAGAAGTGTAGAATCTGACCACATTGCACCAGCACCAACCCTACCATCTTCATCAAGGCACCACATCTCATCTGGATGACTCCAACAGACTCTTAACTAGTGTCCTGCATCCCAACTTTTAGTCCCCATTTCTCACTTCACCAAGGAACACACACCATCTAATCTTTTTTTTTTTTAAAGAATTTATTTATTTATTTGACAGAGAGAGAAAGCACAAGCAGGGGGAGCGGCAGGTGGAGGGAGGGCCCGATGCGGGCCTCGATCCCAGGACCCTGAGATCATGACCCAAGCCGAAGGCAGACGCCCAACAGACTGAGCCACCCAGGCGCCCCCACACCATCTAATCTTAACAGTGTCCAGAGGGACTGTCTAAAACAGAAAACCTGCCTTTGTCACTTCTCTGTTCAAAACCCTCTAATAGCTTCTCATTGCCCACATGAAATAAACTGAGTTCTTACACTTTTCTGATGCCCTACACATGCTCGCCATTATTACATTATTAGATCTTTTTCTTCATTTTCTAAACTAGATTCCTGGACATCAATGAACAAATCTATGGGATTTACTAATGAGACAGGACTACCAGAAATCATGTGGACTTGTGTGAAATAATAGGATAAAAAACACAAGTTACCACATTAGAGATACAAGATTACTAAGAGATTTACTGGAAAAAGCTCTTTTCTTTTTAGTTCTTGAATGATACCAAGTAAACAAGTACAAGTTGCACTGACAGAAAGAGCTGGGTTTAGACACTTTTCTTTCCTCATTATATTTTTACTATTTCCTGCAATCATACCAGTGAACATGCAAGTATCACAGAACATACGAGAGAAAGATACAAAAGCAAAATGTCTCTTTATTGTGTTTGGAAGGATCATCCAATAAAGAACATGGGGATAAATGATGCTCTTTGGGACTACTTGAAGCCTGAGATTTGCATTTGGTTGCTTACCAGAGAAGTGAGATCAAATGGAATTCAAGATTTTCACTAAGTCCCCAAGGATCCTTTTCTATTCTCCACCTGTAATCTACCAGGCAGTTCCTGAGCAGAAAAGGGAATGGGAAAACTGTGACATGAAAACTTACACCATCTGAGATAAGAGTGTGCCATTCAGCCACTTCCAGGGATGCTTAGCTCCTACTTTATATAATCCAATCCAATAATTGAATTTTACTTTCGATTGAATGAAATTCTGTGGGAAAAATAGAATTATTGGTATTATTCATAACATCAATGAAAACACCTCACCTGCAAAGGACTCATAAAATACTGGGCACTTTTATCTTCAAATACCACTCTGATAAATGGAGGAGGCAGGCTAATTTCTCCATGGTGTGGAGAAGAAGTTGAAATGGAAAGTCTTTAATGAACGAATCACCCAAGTCTTTGTGACTGGATGAAAGATATCAACAAAGGACATGATGGATTTAAAAAAAATCTCCACATATAATAAAGTGGATGGGTAAATATGACTGCACTAAATCTAGAACTTCTCTTCATGGTAAGACATCTTAAAGAATGTGGAAAGACAAGCTTCAAACCCTGAGACATCTGCAATAATTTAAAGAACAAAGACATATTTCTATAAATCAGTAAGAAAACAAAGTGATCCAATTAGGAAAAATGGACAAAACGTAAGAACATGTTTTGTGTAAATAAAGCATAGAGCCAATAAATATGGAAAGAGCTAAGGTCACTAGGGTCAGGAAAATGCAAATCAAAGCCAAAAGGTTATATTTTACAACTGTTCAATTGGCAGAAAGTAAAAATAACAACACCAAGTTTGTGGGATTTTAGAGATCTTTAAAACAGTTCCAAAAATCATATTGAAAAATAATTTGGAATTCTTATATAAAATTGAACTTGTGCATATCCTATCACCCAATGATTCCATTCCTAGTAAGATTTGCAATAAAGAGAAGAGAAGACACATGGAACAATTTTGCACAGAGACATGTTTAAGAATGTTAAATGAAGGACTATTCATAACAACAAAAACTGGAAACAATGCAAATTCCCATCATCTAGAGAATGGATGAGGTGTACCCAAGCTTTGGAATGTTATACAGCAGTGAAAACGAAGAAGCTATACCTACAATTGTTAAAACAGTTTATTCCATTTATTTGCTATGTACACTGAAGAAAATAAAAATTCTTTGAACATTTTCTTTACTATACAGTGGGAATCATACTGTTTCTTTTGAGGATTTTGTGCACTGAATAATGCATGCAGTGTCAAAAATATCTTTAACGTAAAAAAACCTGTAAATTATTTGTAACCATTATTCCAATTGACATATTTTATTCACTTCAAATGTCTCTTATGGATGCAAATGTGAAGCAACAAATTAATGTTCTTTCCTAAAAGCAATGTAATTTAATCCCCTTCTCTCCCTCTCTCTCTCTCTCTCAACACACACACACAAACACCACACACACACACACACTCCAATATTTTTTCACTATAATTAAGTTGTATAAGAAAAAATCTTAATAGTGCATCTTTTAGAGTAGATAAAATGGGTGGGTATTATTTAAGCATCACAAAACTATATCATTTCTAGGCCTCTGAAGAAACACTAAAATTAAATATCCATTGATTCTTTCATTCACATATTTTTGTTAGACTTAAGGGTTTACATAAGTGTATAAAAGCCAATCTCAGTTTTCAGTATCAATGGATTTAAAGCACTGCTTTCATTAACCTCTTGGGCATGGTAAAGCAGAAAAAGACTAAAATCCTAAACCATTAGTGTAAGAGTAATGCTGTTGTACAGCAAAGACTGTCACAGGGTTTGTATAGTGCATCAGTATTCCAGTGTAGATCTGTCAGCAAGGCTGTCATCAAATGAGGCAAGAGACTATGAAACTCAGCTTTGTTCTAACCCATGACAAAAGTCTCATGGAATGTCAAGGGCTCTAGATTAATTCATGGAAATAAAAAAGATAACAAGTATATGACGTTTCATTGAAACTCTGAAGCCTATAAACTTCAATGGTAGGACTAAAACTGAAGAATACTGAATTGGAAATTACAGGGGAAATATGGATGACAAATAAATTTAATTTCTGAGAGAAGAAAATTCAGATCACTTAGGAATTGATTGATAACAACTGAGATTCAAAATAATCAAGGTACTCATAAGCTGTACCTGGATTTTCAAAATTTATTTGACTCCATATGCTATAATTTAGTTCATCTGTTTCTTATAGTTAAGAGTGATTCATTCATATTGTTATTTTAATAAGAATTTCAGAAACAAGAAAACACAGATTTCCTTTTTTTAATGATTTTTATTTATTTATTTATTTGACACAGAGAGAGCGCACAAGCATGGGGAGGGTCTGAGAGAGAGGGAGAAGCAGGCTCCCCGCTGAGCAGGGATTCCAATGCAGGGCTAGATCCCGGACCCTTAAGGCAGACGTTTAACTGACTGAGCCACCCAGGTGCCCCCCCCTTTTTTTAAGTAAGCTCTACACCTAACATGGGGCTTGACTCACAACTCCAAGATCAAGAATCACACCCACTACCAATCAAATGAGCCAGCCAGACACCCCTGAATGTTGTTTGTTTGTTTGTTTTTTAACATGAGGTTTTTAAGTCTTCCTTCACAATACACTAATAGAAATAATATTGTTAGCAGTAAGCAGTATAACTTGAATTCAGTGCCTAAATGGAATCATTAGAAGGAAAACTACAGAATCCAATCTGTTGACTTAATATGCCAAATTCTATAAGGAATGGCAAATGTGATCTAGATTTTCTCTTCTAGAAAAAAAAAAGAAGAAAAGAGATGCTTCCTCTGTCATTCTAGATGATAAGTAAAAGAAAAATTTTTTATTTTTATTTTTATTTTTTAAAGATTTTATTTATTTATTTATGAGAGAGCGAGCGAGAGAGAAACAGCGGGAGAAGCAAGCTCCCTGCAGAGCAGGGAGCCCGATGGGGACTTGATCCCAGGACCCTGGGATCATGACCTGAGCCGAAGGCAGACGCTTAACCATCTGAGCCACCCAGGCGCCCGAAAAATTTATTTTTAGAGAATCATTCCAGCTATATTCAAACTCTCCATTTTTCTTCCTTTTTCCCATGGCCATGAAAGTGAGAGACTCATCATCCCTTACATGTGTGATCCCTCCCAAATCCTGATAAAGGAATAGAACTCAGTACAATGAGACACTCTCTTTTTCAGATTGCTCAGACCATTGAAGGCACTTTTTCTTTTACCCTGTATCAGCCCTGAGAAACTAAAAACTGAACAGCCTGATGTATACTAAATTTGAAGATGCAACACATACAATAAAAGGACTGAACAACAGTCCGTGGCACACACAACAGAGACATTTCTCTTAGTTTAAACTGTTCTTCTAGGTCTCTGTTAGCCCTGTGTCTCCTCTACAGAGCAATTTGCACCAGTTAACAAGTGTTTCATAACAAAGTGGCCAAGGGACGCCTGGGTGGCTCAGTTGGTTAAGTGTCTACCATGGGCTCAGGTCATGATCCCAGGACCCTGGGTTCCAGCCTAGCGTGGGGCTTCCTGCTCAGCGGGGAGCCTGTTTCTCCCTCTCCCTCTGCCTTTCCTTCTCCCCCCTACCCCCCAGCCCCCCACACTCATGCTCTCTTTCCCTTGCTCTGCTCTCTCTCAAATAAATAAAACTTAAAAAAAAATGTGGCCAATTAATACTGGAGGAAAGTCTAAACAATTATCCTAACTCAAAATATAGGAATATCACATAAAAAGCATTTACTCAAGTTTTATAAACTAGACATACCTGCTCCTCTTTATTATCAATCTTAATGAGACTAGAATGCATGTCTTGGCATGACTCCTTACTCTTCTCCCAAGTCTTCTCTTCCCTTGAAAAATAGTAACAGCTTTTTCCACAGCAGTACATTTGTTCTTGAAGTGTGAGATTATCTGTATCTTGAAAACAAAATCCACCATGATCTTCAACCACGAGAACACTTAGAGACCTGCACCTTCTATATATTTCATTGCTTAGTTCAGACTGAATAACCAAAGAATAAGTGGCATTCTATATCACAAAAGTTTAATGTTGGGCATCGCTTTATGGTCAAATTGTGGAGCCAGGGACTGTCTCTGACAGACCTCAGACCATTGTTAGGATTGCACTGAGAAATCTTGACTTCTCAAGGACAAATACACTACAGCAACATGGAACAGTTCTCCCTGCAGGGAGAAATCCACCAAAGGAATTATGGGGATGGTATTAATTTTAAGGGATTTATATTGGGAAGAACACATTCATGGGGATAAATTACTCAAATAATCAAATCAACATGACTTTGTGAAAGTCAAGTGTTCAATTACCTATAATAAAGAAAATGGATTTGACTAAAATAAGATGAGCAAATTAAAGCATCTGACAAAGTTCAATGTAAAGTTTTAAAATTATATATTGAAATGGAACAGAAGGGGATAATTCCATTAAAAAAAATCTATAAAGTATCAGTGTAAGTATTCAGTATGTACCTATAATAGGTGGTAAAACTGAGTCATATTCAACTTCTCCAAAGGAAGCGTTTTTGTCTTTTACGTCTTTCATATCTTGCATTGTGTTTCCAGAACACCTCTGAAAAACTTCAACCCATATTAGAAAATTAAGGTCATGAATGACTTTAATAGGTCACTTTATTGTAATCACTTACTCTAATTCCAAATGACATGGTGAATGCTGTTGACTAAATGAAAGTACAATCAGAGAAAATATTAGGATAAAATACTATATAGTGTCAGAATATAAAACAGATTTTTATTATAGAGCTCTAACTTGCTATCTATTACTTGTTAAGTATATAAAACAGTAATCAACTTTTATAAAACAGAAAATATAAACAGGAAATCAAATATATTACTAGTTTCTATGTCATCTACACTTCAAATAAAGATTTCAAAGTTGATGAAGTTCAGCATTCAGTATATTATTTCGCACTTAGTATTTGCATGTAAAGCTAAATACAGGGATCTGGCTCGCCTCCAGAATAAAATTATAATTGATTCATTGAATGTGTATGGAGTAAGAGCTCAGATGGCTCCTTCTAATATGCAAAAGAAAAGTTAAAAATCTCTGAGAGAAATAGCAATATCTTCCCAAAACTCACAAATAAAAAATATAAAAACATGAAGTATATGGCTCTTTCAGTGTGTGAATATTAAAAGAAAAATACTTTATGGATTTGTTACACAACTGAGAATGTTCATTTCCAAATCTGCTATGACCCATCATCATTCAATCAAATTCAATGTCTACTTGTAAAAATCCAACAACATCCATTGCACAGTCTCTTAATGTATTCAATTGCAATAAATATAACTATTGCTTCAATTCAGCCATCCATTACAATGTTCATATACTGTATCTGAATTAAAAAGACACATTAAGTTGCGCCTGGGTGGTTCAGTTGGTTAAGCCTCCAATTCTTGGTTTCACTCTGGTCATGATCTCAGGGTCCTGGGTCCAAGCTCCCCCACCAGCACCACACACAGCATGGAGTCTGCTTGAGAGTCTCTCTCTCTAGCCCTCACCCTGCTCTCTTGAATCTCTCACTCTAAAATAAGTAAATACATTAAAAAAAAAAAAAAGACACGTTAAGATGTTTGGTACCTAAATAATTTCTTGTACTTACAATTTCTTGTGACTAATCATTTTCCTTGTCCCTTCCTTGCTGTCTATCCAAGGATACATGGTACAAAACTATTTTGGCAGGGCCTCCAAGAAACTTACGACATAAACTTTATGCACATCTAAAAATAGCCAACTTCATTGCAGCACATGGCTGGCTCAGTGGGTAGAGAAAGAGACTCTTGATCTAAGGGTCTTTGGTTAAAGCCCCATGTTGGGTGTGAGGCTTCTTAGCAAATTAAAAAAAAAAAATCCTTATGTTCCACATATGAGTGAAACTTCCCTTCTCAACTTCCTGCTTATCCTCCAATAAATACACAGATATCCCTCATTCTATCTCAGAAAAAAAATTGCTTTTCATTGGGCAAGACTGAAATTCTCACCCCTGGTGTGGATTTCATTCCCTATTGAATCTTTGGTGATCGTGATCTCCCACTATTATATTTCTCTCTTGAACCCTCAACATTTTCCTTCTCATGGTTCCCTTCTTTTGCATATGTTCATCTCAAGTCACCTCTCCCACAAAATTTCCTGTCCTTTCTTCTTCATATTTTTTGTAACAGAATTGCTTTTCTAACTCTTGGATTGGGGATAGAATAAAGTTGTTCATAAATTTCATTCATGAGACGCTCAGAATTGCTAGCACATTAACCATTACATTTATCTACTTTTATACTTTATTTCATCCTATCTTCCTACCTATCTCAAGCAGTACAACTAACGCCCATTACAAACACAGCCTTGATACATTCTACATATACTTTTGTTGTCACTGTATTTATTTTGTTTTTAACTATTTAAGCTTAAAAGAAAATATAAGGATATACAAGAACTTTTGTGCTCTTGCTCCTGTTTCATTTCATTTTATCTTCCTGAATTTCATCCACATTGTTACATATCACTGTAGTTTGTTTTAACTGCTACATAAACCGCATTGGGAAATAAATTACAGAGGTTTCATTTACTCTCCCATTAGTGGTCATTTATGTAGTTTTGAGGTGTTTGATATTATGGTCATATGTGGTTATTTGTGTAGTTCTGAAGTGATTGATTTGTAAATGGCACTGCTGCAATCAGTCTTGTAGATGCACATTTCTGTGCATGTGTAAGTACATCTGTTGGACATATACTTAGGCTGAGAATGACTGACTCGATGTTCAGCTTGAGGAGATAATACCAAACTGACAGTGTCGGAGTCAGTTTATAGTTCCTTTACAATGTATGAGATCCTGTACATCCACATATGTTCAACACAGGGGAAATTTTTGCTTAGCCGTAATTTAGAAAAAATTTTCTGTACTTACCGTTTCAGCTTCCTAATGTTTGAGTAAATTTCAACCATTGTAATCAGGCTTTGACCCGACCTACCATTCCACTAATCTACTCTAGAAAATGTCATTGGTGACCTCTCTTGCCAAATATAATAAACATAACTTTCCCTATTAGAATACTTCATCTTTCTGTACTACTTGGAATCCGTAACTATCTTTAGCCTTCTCTCCATATGATGTCATAATGTTTTGGATCCCCTCCTTGTTTAACCAAACCATCACTGTTTTTCACTATTTGCTCCTCTTACACTTACTTCTAAATGTCGAATTATCTTAAGAATCATCCTCGTCACCCTTGTTCTTCTAGCGTAATCTACTCTCCCTCGTTTTACAAGGTGACACATGGTCTAGCTTCTGCTTTCCTCTACTGTGTTTTTGAATAACTGTTACACTAATTTTTGAATCCACAATTCATATCTCTAATCTAGGCATCTCTCTTGATCTCCAGACTTTAAATCCTATCCTATATGTGTGGATGGTCTGTGTCTACTGCCAAAACTCATTCTAGAAGACTCGGACCAATCTAATTCTTTTTGGTCATCTCCAATGATATGCCACCAGCACCTCACTCTTCACCATTATTAGCACACACACACACACACACACACACACACACACACCTTGAATCATAGCCTAATATTCCTCTTGTGTTTTCTATAACGTTTAGTGGACTATATTCACCAATGTGTATAACCCGATATCAAATGTAACACTGATTCATCTGTCTCTCTCACGGATTCAATAAAAGGCATATCCTAACAATTCTACACATTAAATATTTCCCATATGTGGTCCCTACTCTTCATTACTTCTTTCATGACAATAATTCAGTCATTCTAACTAACCCTGATTCCTGAAATATCCTCTTATCTTGTCCCTTCACTCACTTTCCAGTCTATTCAGATTGACCTTTCCAAAATCCCTATCTGCTCATGGGACATGGGTCCTGTTTTGCCCTCCAGTAAATCTTCCAATAGTTTCTTTCTTGTTTTTAGAACAGATCTAAAAATTTCCCGACATGATATTAATATTACCATAAATTGCATATCTAGCGAAACCTATTTCTACCTACTTATTTTATTTACCCAAAACTGAAATTCTCCTAACACATCAATATGTTCTTCTGTTCATGTTGTTCTTCCTGGAAGAGTCTTCTCTACCATGAGTTTCCTGATTACATCCTATCTATCCTTTATATCATGTCAATTACTATCTCTTAGAGGAAACTTTCTTGACCTCAGCATGGAATATCCCATCCATCTGATATCTTCATGCCATTATTGCAGCACTAATAATATTTATTTTAAAAACTGCTTCATTAAAAAAAAATCTTCCCCTTTAAGACAAGCTCATTGAGAGCTCACTTTTAAAAATTCCTGTATCTTTAATGCAATACATAGTTCCTGACCCAGCAAAGATACTCAAAATTGTTGCTGAATGAATGAAACAAAGAAAAATAAACATCAGGGAAAAGATATTAAAAACAAGTATTCTATAAATTTTTCTAAATTGACGTGAAATCTATAAAAAGTGATATAGAAAATAGATCAACTTTATAGTCCTCTGTGATTTAAGCAGTATTGAAGTATGATAAAGAATGTAATATTCAAGTAAAGATTTTTCCAGTCTCTGATCTTATGGAATGCCTCCTTCCACACTGTACATTTCAGCCAAATTTTCTGCCATTACAGCTATTGCTTACACTGTTTTGTGTGGTATAAAACCTAAATGATAGCAAAATAATAAAATCATAATCATCATCAATATTATCATCAACACATCATAATTACTAACATTTCTATAGGACTTTATGATTTACAAAGTTTCAGCAGAAGTTCAGTAGTTATAGCATCTCATTTTCCACTCTGGCTCATTGTTCTCATAAGAACTGTGTGCCTGATACTCACGCATATATCCTAAGCCTGTGATTATCAGCAGGAAGATAACACATATAACTCCCAGGGTTAATGCAACAATATGCCATCGAAATTCTGTACAAAATCAGAAAGCAAAATGTACAATAAGCATTGAGCCTTAGGAAGGCCCTCAGAATTAGAACAAAATGGAAATTCATTTTAGAACTTGAATATCACTATTTACTCTGGTCACAAGACTCATTGAATATTACATTTAAATGTACCTCTTCATATATAAAGAACCAGATATATAATATCAAAATGTATAGACACAATTATCATGATTTCATTTTTTCTTACTTGACATCATAATGTTTTCAGAAACAAGAAAACAAACTGAAATACCTTTACCTCTCCTTTTATCCACTGGACGTCTTTTGCCCTTCTGTTTCCTTGAATATGGAAATAGCAGATTCGCATATGTCACTGTCTCCTTACTCATTTTTGAGGTCTGCAGTAAAGAACACAGCTCAAATCCTATGCAATGTTTCATGAGGCATGAAAATAACAATATCATGAAATGAGAGTGACAGCTAAGCATATGATAAGCGTGATCATCTGAAATAAGCAAGTTAAAGTAAATATTTATCTGGGACTGTTAGGATTTTTTTCTTACATTTCTCTTTGTAATAACTTAAACAGAAATATTACACAATTAAATAATGGTTCCACTACTGTATATGGGCATGTTATGTTTCATTTTTTTTAAAACTGAATTCATTGCCAAATTTAAAAATTTATATATTAAATACTCACCTAAAAATCTAGACTTATATTAGCTTTTGAAAAATTATGTCTGATCACTTAATGCCTGTTTTATGCCCAAGTGGCAACTTTATTGACACCAAAAACAGTAACTTCCTCTTTAGTAAGGACACACACATTCCAATTTGACAAACTCTTCACCTGCCACATGGCTTATGTCAGATACCACTCATTCATCCACATTATCACTTGAACTTTACAGTCAGTGGGTCATGACCCTGTTTTCAGAGTGTGAGGAAAATGCAGAAATCATGGGGTTCAACAAAAGGGAGTTACAGAAGTAACATTACATGAGGGAGGTATAACTTGTAATTCTAACAACAATGCTACACAGTGGTCCTTTCTATTTGTAGATGAGGAAAACTGAAGCTCCAAGAGCATAAACAGTATTCCCAAGTCAGAGAGCAAATAAATGATAGTCTTTTATTAAAATAAATATAAATCTTATAAATATAGTAAATAAATAGGTATAATATATATTAAATATAATCTAGTTCAGATAAATAAATATATTAAAATATTATATCTAAAAATAGTACACTTAAATATAATTTTTATAAATATATATTTAGTTCAAATATATATATTATATATAGCTAATTTATATTTATCCAAATATATGATTCTTCACTTACATGTAACTCATATGAACAATACCTTCCAAAGAATACCTAATAAATTCTCTCCCATAGAATTAAAAAAAAAAATAGTGATTAAATGGAGAAAACATTTTTCCCAAAAGAAGATTTTTGGTAAGTGTAGAAAGAACTAGATAACTGTTCTTAAATAGATTTGAAACTGGGATTTTTAAAATATCTTAATATTTCACCATTCAGTTAATTTAGAATGTCAGGAAACATGATTTGAACAATTATTAATAATGATAAACTGTATAGACACACTGCCATTTGATTTTCAATAAATACTCTCTCCACCAAAGTGCCAAATTATAAGCTCATTTTTGTCTTAAGGTCACATTTTCCAACCTAACTGGATTTTGTTTAGTTATATATTAATTGAAAATCCATATAACAAAATAACAAGACAATAAATTTGCAAGTATAAACCTGGATTTATTTTAGGTAAAAATAATCATATTATCAAAGCATCAAACTTTTTTACTACACTTAACTGGTAGATAAGAGAATTTAACCTTTGGATAATTCACTGCTAACCAGTTAGGTAATACCTATAGAGACAATAGGGGGAGAACCCATTTTATATTGTCTAAAAAAGAATTAAATAGTCCTTAAAACATCTAAGAATTTAAAAAATCATATTCTGCATAGGAAATATTTTGACCCACTCTCATTCTGATCCATTCCTGTCTTCACTTGTAGAATAAAGTTAACATTAGATATAAATTAATCCGGATCCCAAAGTCAGTTATTTTCTGCAACATTCCAACCCCCCACAACTTCCTACATAGCTTTCCTGTAGCAAATTTTACTCTATCTCCCTTTGCTCCACAATGGGACAGCACAGACATGGGTCACACAAGCTCGCTGGCTGTAATACCTGCTTCTGTGCCTTGGGATCTCACCAGCTGGAGAAATAGCGTGGTCAGGAACACAGCTATGATGTCCTGGCTCTGCGGGCCTTTCACCTCTGCTTTGACTCTAGTAGGTACTTGCTGATATGCTTCACTGGCTCTCAGAGAGACCATGTCAGAAGAAAGAATGCTAATGATCATGTGACATTAGATATCCCCCCCCCCAGTTTCCACTAGTGTGAGTATCTCATTAACTCCTGCACTCTACTCGGTGTCCGACAAGAGTCACAGAAAACTCAAATGCTAAATCTTATACACATTTCTGGATCAGTTTAAATCTGACCTTTAGCAGGTAACTTGAACATTGAAAAAAAAATTATTTTCAAAATCTCGTAAGATTAGGAAATGCTTAACAATAAAATTGAAAACTTATGAAAATAAAAAGTGAAATATCTGTATTCTACCTGACATGATTCATGTTTTCTTTTTATGGAATGAAAGTAAGTTCCCAATTGTTACATATATGTAGTAAAAATAGAGAATGTCTAAATGTGTTCAAATTTTAGATCCTATTTTTAACAAACATCCTAAGGATGGCCAGATTGTTTTATATGTTACAATAAATCTAAATATCTAAAAATTGAGATATGAATGATTCGAAGAATATCACATTTCTACTTATTTCTCATGATCTCTTTAAATTGCCTGAAAAAGCCAACTCTTTAAATAATAAAAATTAAGACACAGAGAAATATTTAAAATATTGAATAAGTTGGTATGTAGTCCTTTTAAAACATCAAAGTCAAATCCATCTGTTCCAATAGTTGTAGCAAAAACTATCAGAGCATTTTTTAAAAAAGGTTATTTGTTTAATTCAGTGAGCAGCTTTATGCCCTATTTAACCCCAGAAGTCAGTGTTAGGCAGGAACAAAAGACGTTTTCGTTTTATTTTTTTCATGTGAACCACATTGATCTGTGCACCACAAGGTCCCCGATGCTCTGACACTTTAAAATTCTTAGAAATGTGTACTGATAATTGAAATCCACCTCTATGCCAGCTACACCAGGTGAAGTTTATCCAAAGGCACTTTCCCATGGTTTGAGCTACCTTTTCCATCACTTGCAAAACACAGATGTCTTATCCTCTTCTAAATAATGGTAGTAGCACATGTGAGAGCCTCTAGCTCTTTTTCTTGTAAGTTTGCCTTTTTCTCATGCACTTTCTGTGCTAGACCTAACTAATTGTTTTCAGGAAGTAGGTTTCTGACATAAAGAGAGAAAGCATTCTGCAAATTCTCCATGCAACAGGGCTTTCTCTTAAAGGCAAACATGGTCTTCAGGCATGCCTATGAACTAAGATCTTCCAGGTCCTGGGTGTAATTATTCTGCATAGCAGTTGTGCATCTCTATCTATGCCTAAGTCAAATTCCCCAGTACCAAAATATGTCATTTTTTTTAAAGATTTTATTTTATTTATTTGACAGAGAGAGAGATAGAGCAGGAACACAAGCAGGGGGAGTGGGAGAGGGAGAAGCAGGTCTCCCGCCTAGCAGGGAGCCCGATGTGGAACTCGATCCCAGGACCCCAGGATCATGACCTGAGCCAAAGGCAGACGCTCAACAACCGAGCCACCCAGGCGCCCCCAAAATATGTCATTTAACAGAAATATATTTGATAACCCTTTTTATGCTACTAAATACTATATACTTTACTGGTAAAGGATAATTAAGCTGGCAAAGTGACTGTGAACGACTGTTTTAGAGGGTGGATAGTATGACTTCTAAACTCTCAGTGCAGTGTTGTCTTCTGGGGTGTGGGGCATTAAGACCTGACTGTAGTTTATATTGTCTGCTTCTGAAACAGCAGCTGAGCGAAGTGACTGATTTTGGAAGTCCCATCCTCTTCAGCAGCATCCAGAATACCTTCCATGCAAATGAGTCTGCTGAGAGATTGAGCCTTAGGATCAGAATCCATTAGGTGGTATTGAATAATATTTCTATATGTTAAGAACCAAGTAGAAAATTGACTCTAAAAGTTTGCATGCATTCACAGGAATGCATTGCCTCTAATCTTTTTGAAAGTTGTACAGATTATGTTTATCATTGTTTAATATTAACAGGTCAACCCCTAAAATCTTGGGGCAAACCACCAATGAAAAGCACTTATAAGCAATTTTAGTTGTTAGGCCTTTAAATAAGATGCCAGATTTATCATAACTAAAATAGATATAATAGGTTCAAGAAAATCTATCAAACTATATATCTTTAAATATTTTATCAACAGTATTTATAGCAAATAAAAATATAAAGTATTATTGTCAGATTATGGGCATATGACTCTTTTTAGGGTTGACTTTTAATTTTCTAACTATTTTGAGAAATGAGGCTATCACTAATTAGTTAATTATAAAGACATACACAAAGATCTTTCTGTCTTTAAAACACCCACACACTTTTGCAACCAATGTCAATGTATTTTTAGAGCTTCTTAAAATGTTTCTTATACCTTTTTTTCTACTTCAACTTTTATCATGTAAGATTTCACTAAAATATCACTCGTATTCATTATTTTGACATTCACCAAGTCTAGCCTGTGTCAAAGAAAAGTAAAAACTATAATGATACTGAGGAAAAAGATTGATAAGGTGGAGAAACCAAGATCTAACACCAAAATGAAATAAATAAAATAAGAGGGAGAGAGAGAGAGATGTTCATGCTAACATACATAAACAGAACAAAGCAGAATGATAGTAGGATCTAACTAAATTTGTGTGAAATTTATAATAAAGCAGGGAGAGTGCATAAAATACTGAAATAATATTCCAAAAGCAAAGGTCTATGAGAAAACAGGTTTCCATTTTTATTTTTCATATCATGTACTTCTTATATACTATTTTCATTTATTTACTTTTTTATCATAAAATTGGTAAAAGTTAAATGAGTGTGAAGAAATCAGAAGTCCAAATTGCTTGGTTATGTTACACTCAAGATATAGGGAAATAGGGAAAAGTGATATAATTTGACAATAAATAGGAGCTTGTGTAAACAGAAATGAAAATGATGAGGGGAGACAAGTTTGCTTTACTTGTCATCCTTAAGAATATTTCCATATATAATTTTTGTTCAATAACATACATTGGTACAATAAATCTCAAAATATTTGGGAGGAGTCAGGTTACACTTTTGCCTTTAGTAGCTAAAGACTTAGGCCTTGATTTTCCTTCTCCAGATGCTGCTACTTGGCATTTTTCTTTTTTTTTTTTCACGTTTTTTTATTTTATTATGTTTTGTTAAATACCATACATTATATCATTAGTTTTTGATGTAGTGTTCCATGATTCATTGTTTGCGTATAACACCCAGTGCTCCATTCAATACATGCCCTCTTTAATACCCATCACCAGGCTAACCCATCCCCCTAACCCCTCCCCTCTAAAACGCTCAGTTTGTTTCTCAGAGTCCATAGTCTCTC